CAGTAAGAATGGTCATCATTAATAAAACAAAAAACAAGAGATGATGGCGAGGATGTGGAGAAAAGGGAACGCTTCTACACTGTTGGTGGGAATGCAAATTAGTTCAACCACCATGGAAAACAGTGTGGAGATTCCTAAAAGAACAGAAATTAAGCCAGGCTGGGTGGCTCAGCCTGTAATCCTGAGCCTTTGGGAGGCTGAGGTGAGTGGATTGCCTGAGCCTGCAGGTTCGAGACGCCTGGGTGACTTGGCGAGACCTCATCTCTACAGTAAAATCAAAAATGAGCTGGGCGTGGTAAGCGCGTGCCTGTAGTTCCAGCTACTTGGAAGGCTGAGGCGGAAGGATCGCCGGAGCCCAGCAGGTCAAGGCTGCAGTGGACGGGAGCGGCCACTGCACTCCAGTCTGGGTGACAGAATGAGACTCCAACTCAAAAAAAAAAAAGAATTAGAAATTGACCTTCCATACAACCTAGCAATTCCCCTTCTGGGAATATACCTGGAGGAACTTAAATCACTCTGTAAAAAAGATACCTGTACATGCATGTTTATTGCATCACTATTTACAATAGCAAAAATGAACCAACTGTGCTGCCCATTGAAACTGAAGTGGATAAAAATAATGTGGTACATATACATGATGGAATATTACACAGGCATAAAGGAGAACAAAATTATGGACTTTGCAGCAACTTGAATGGATTTAGTCTATAACACTCAGTGATGTATCACAGAAAAAAAGAACTGAGTACCACATGTTCTTACTCATAAGTAGACCCTGAACATTTACCATAATACTATAAGAAAGGGATGAGCAATAGCCAGAAACTTCTAGGGGAGGGGTAGGGGGTACACAACATTAATAAGGGTACCTGATCTCAAATCAGGCAAAGTGGGAACCAAAGGGAGGCTCAAACTTTACCTGTATGATGACCACTTGTATACCTAACCCTGAATTCTACCCCACATCTTTAAAATAAAACAAATTTTTTAAAAAAGAAAATTGACCAAGAAATGGCCAAGAAAATTATTTTAAAAATAGGAGACTTATCTTATGAGACAAAAATTTACTATAAAGACATTATAATAAAAGATATGGTATTAATACAATTTTAGACAAATAGATCTGTGGACTAGAAAATAAAATCCAGAAACAGATATAAGTAAAGAAACTTAGTTATAAAAAAGATGGGATTTTGCCGGGCTTGGTGGCTCAGCCTGTAATCCTGTGCCTTTGGGAGGCTGAGGTGAGTGGATTGCCTAAACCCGCGGGTTCGAGACCCTCCTGGGCAGCGAGACCTCATCTCTACAATAAATAAAAAAAATCAGCCGGGCGTGGTAGCACATGCCTGTAATTCTGGCTACTCGGAAGGCTGAGGCGGAAGGATCGCCGGAGTCCAGCAGGTCGAGGCTGCGGTGGCTGGGAGTGGCCACTGCACTCCAATCTGGGCGACAGAGTGAGACTCCAACTCAAAAAAAAAAAAAA